AAATGTTTCATTTTAAACTCTGTCTTGCCATGTCAAAGTCTGATCTTTTTAAGGTGTAGACAATGAAAATTATGAAAATATTATTCATGCTTTGAATCTCATTGCCCAAAACTGTTTCTAGAATATTTGAAAAATAATTGGTGAATGAACTTTTGACAAATTCAAAATTTATAGCCTCATTATCAGTGACGTTTTGTACCAACAGCTTAGAAATTTGACACAAAAGTAAAGGTACTATCATGCACACAAAATATGATAACAAAATAATGAAAATAGCACAAATATTACTTGCCTCGACATCAACTGGCAACTTCTCAACTAAGTGGTCAACCAAGGATATTTGTAACCTGTTACTGAAAGTCAAGTCTATTTGTTTACAAACATGCCAAGAAAAGAATCCAAAGCATTTTGAAATCAAAATAATTGAAGCCAAACTCTGAATGCATATTCAAATCAGGAGTCTTGAAAGGACTTCACCATTTTATCAAATGCAAGTTTCAGATTACCATCTCAAAATGCATGTTGACAATATGTCGCCTTTTCAACAATTGAACTGTTGACAAGTAATTTCAAAGATGAATACGGAGATCTGAAGACTAAAAACATGATTTAATTATTCAAACTTGCTGAAAGTAACAGGTTACAAAATTTAAGGTATTGCTTCTTACCTTGCCAAGTGACCTTTGACAGCCAATGAAGCTTGCGTGTGCGTTTGTGTCATGACTGACCCAGGCCCTCTCCTGCAAAAAAAAATTCAATTTAAAATTATTCAGGCGCATGAGCTAGTAAAAAACTGACAGGCAACATCCCATGTTCAGGCATGCAGTTTACCTAAATGGTAAACCTGGAACAGTCCCCATTTTGGTTCAAAGGTCACTGATTAGGGTAGGCAATGATACCTTAAATGGCTACAGTGAATCTTGATACGTGTCCTGTGGTCTAACCTTTGGTAATTTGTATATGATCTCCAAGTATAGAGGTTGTATACAAATTACAAAGGGTGTGGCTATAGTATGCATATTCATGATGCAATGTAGCCGCTTTAGGGGAGGAGCCAGAAACGTGTACATGGAAGGGGAACCACAAAGGCTTCTGGAGTTAAACTTTGACACCTCAGAAACCTTTGCTGTTGCCCCAAGACCATGTGCTAGATTCTGGGTCAATCCTCTAAAGAATCCTTGGTTGACTACTTTCTTGAAATCCTCCTTGCATGGAGGAGAGGGGGGCTTTTTGATTTGTGAGAAATAAAGACAAAGGGACACCTTATTCAAATTTTCTGTGTGAATTTATTCTAGGGGACCCCTATTCATTTTTTAATTTAAAATAAAAAAAAAAAAGCAGCAGTGTTGTGCTAAACATACGTTGCTGGTTGGCGCCCTCTACTGTCTAGGGCGTGTGGCAGTCTGTGGTCCAGGTACTGTGGTTGATATACCTATTGTTCAGCAAAATCCACTGATGTGCTACTGGCGCTCTGCACCACTGGTATCCTGCCCCACATAATTATACATGCATTTCACTTCATTGAAAAACAAACAGTGGCCAAAACAAAGGTCCGAAAGGATTCACTGTTGCCGACCTAATCTTTGCCGAGTCTGTATGAGGTGTTTCACGGACGTCATCCCCTGTTCGGGCAACCAGGCTGCAAAATTTTGGAATGTATTTTGGACGTGAACTTTAGTGGAAAAAAGTAAAAACTGAGAAAGCTGTTTTTGAATGGACTTTTCCACTTCATTTCCAATTGAGTCCCAGACCATCAAAATAACAACAACCTCGGCCTAGATGATGACGTGCGAATCAGAGAAACACATTCTTACATGGCTGACAGCTTTATATATAATTTGACAAAGTTTGGGGGAAAAATACTTCAGATAAACCCAACTCTCTTAAGAAGCTGTCCAATGAATGTACTGAAGTGCAGTACTTGTCAATAATTTTGTTTTCACTTGTGAAGGAAGAACCACACATTGTATGAGAAATGTTTTCATCAAGTAACAATTCCAAAGTTTTCAGCACTTTTATCTTTTGAAAAACAAAATCCACAAGAACAAAATTCCGTTTTTAGACAGTGAAACTGATAAATAACAGTGTGTATTCACCAAAAAAGCTGTGTGGTTCAATTTGTCTTTCATTACCAGAAGCCTGGCAAAGCCTCTTAGGAAATACTGTAGATGACATTGGGTTTGTTAATAGCATACTCCTAGGGAATATGTTCTATATTTATTCCTATCCTGCTTGGAAAATATTAATAATAGGTTTCAATAAATTCAGAGCAGCAGTGCTAAATACTGCTCCTCTGAATAAACAGATATATTTCAATGAACTTACGAAATTGTGAACTGTTTTATAATATCGCTTGAACTAAGATTAAATTACTTTTAACCCTCCTATGATTTGGAGACGTTCCTTCACAAAATCTATTCCCTTGTGTAGAATACTGGCAAGGGAAGATTAAAAACCAAATGCAACAAATCCAATCCAATGTACTTTAGACTAAACCTGAAGTGTAAGGACTGTGCGTACTTTACTGGCTTTAGACTAAACCTGAAGGGTACGGACTGTGCGTACTTTACTGGCCTTAGACTAAACCTGAAGGGTAAGGACTGTGCGTACTTTACTGGCCTTAGACTAAACCTTAAGGGTAAAGGCTGTGCATACTTTACTGGCCTTAGACTAAACCTAAAGGGTAAGGACTGTGCATACTTTACTGGCCTTAGACTAAACCTTAAGGGTAAGGACAGTGCGTACTTTACTGGCCTTAGACTAAACCTTAAGGGTAAAGGCTGTGCATACTCAACTGGCCTTAATAACACCTGTAAATATATAGCTTACATTGTTACATTGAGAAAAACTCCCCAGAAGTTGCACTTTGCTTGTGACCTCCTTAATATTACAGACAAAGAACACATTTATGTATTCTTAAAATGGAAACAGAATAACAATTGATGACAAGTAAATGGCGTTCCTGGAAATTTGCCAGAATGACTGTGTTTCAGTATCTGCAATGTTAATGGTCACATGCATCTATCTAACTTCCTCTAACAGATAGGATTTGTCTATACATGTATTATATAAAACCTAAGACCTTTTGACTGAAGATCTAAGTTTTCTCTTTAAATTCTTTCAAAGCATTGTTTGTTTAAGGTTACTTCTATATGACTAAAGACTCATTTATTTTTACTTTAATTTTAATATTTTATATTTGTTACATTTTAAGGATGCCCATGTCAATTACAACTGTACCTACAACCCCAAGGTAAGTTTATTCAAATTTAAATTCTACGTTCCTTTAGTAGGTAACCAATCATTCACTGAGCATGTTATCTTTATCTTGTATTCCTACTTATGCTGAGGGACGGGTGTTTAGATCACTGAGTACTTGAGTAAACAGAAATGAGGAATAAATCCTATCACTTGACTATCTTCAAGAAAATTAAACAATCATAGAAATGATCAACTTGGAAGTCAAACTAATCACCTTGATGTCCCTGTCATCAATGATTGAATTCTCAAGAAGACATTCATTACTATTTGAAAACTGAAACTGCCAATTAATTAGTTTTCAATGGTTTTAGATTTCCACAAAAACCTAAACCTTGATTTTATAAACTATCCTATTAACAGTACTTTCTTCAAATCATGCTTGCTTGTCAAGTTTTGGCCTGGTCGTAACAATGTACACGTCTGTCTTTTTCTATTTTCCTTAAATTTACGATATTGCAAAACAAGTTGACACTATTAAACATTATGTTAGATGATCATTTGTTCTGACCTATCAGTACTATTTCCTACTAACGACAAACTTTGACTCTAGTTACTAAGTTTTACACCAAAGATATTTGTGGCTGATCTGTAACTACTATAACCTTTCCTTTCTTTAACAATCCCAATGTCATCTTTGATACCACCTTCAAGGAAACAATTACCTCCAAACACAAATGAAACCAAAACTGAAATGATTTTGTAAAATCTAGGTAAACTTGAGCAGCCATATTAGAATGTCTTTCTTCCAAGTCTCACACCAACACCTGAGGAGAAGTTGCTACCATTCATCAGGTCTAGAGCCCCCTCGGATCAGAAGCAGATGTCCTCTTTGATAAAGGTTTGGTCATCATGACCTTGCCAAAAAAGCAACCTGTTTACACAGGAACAAAGAGTGACGGGTACCAACTTAGGATAACAAAATGATCGAAAAAATGGTGAAAAAAGTGCAATGGTCCTCAGTCCGACACACCAAACCATACAGGGACCCCAAAGACTTAAGTAAGCAACAGAAATCCCTTCTTTCCTATACCTGAGAGTTTGAGAGATTTTGGGGTGAAATAGCATGTCAATTATGTAAGGCAGGACACTGGTGGGTGAGAGCACCAGCGACACATACAGTCGATTTCACTAAACAACAGGTACATCAACCACAGCACCTGGGCCACAGACTGCCACACGCCCCAGACAGTAGAGGGCGCCAACCAGCAACGTATGTTTAGCACAACACTGCTGCTTGTACATGCATGTAGAATGGGATTTCATAAATACATTTGACACAAAAAGACATTTTTGAAACATTTGGCAAGTAAGATAATGTGAGAACCACTCCCTTGACATAAGCCATTCTGAAAATTTGTTTGCACAGTTGATTATTAAAACAAANTGAATTGAACAAATTTTTCAAAACCACACAAAATCATGTATGAACTAGTGAAAATTGGACAATGATTTCCAAATTTCAAGGTTTTAGATTGTTAGAATTAGTTTGCTTAATAATTCTTTTTGCATTTTTGAAAAGTGTCTGCCTCAGGATCTGTGTCTTAGATTCAATTTGTCGGAGTGATTCTCATCAATATGCAATAACAAACATCAAACGGTATGGTTCAAAACATCAAGTACCATCAATTTGTAGCTGATCACAGCACAAACTTTTTAGAGCTGGAATCTTACACGAAATCAGAAAACCCTAATTGACCTGTGTGCTACTGGGATGTAATGGTTTCAACATTGTTTCCTAGTCAATGAAATGGCTCAATGGCGCGCTGATGAAAATCGACAAATATCACCAAATATGGCTTAATATAAAGTGCATGTCTGTTGCTAGAATGTACCCCAAAAGGTCATTGTTCTCTAAATTCTGAGATTTAGAAATTCGTGATTTGCAAAACCTTACATCAAGAAAACGTCTTACAGATGTCATAAAATGTTCCTAGACATTCTGACTACAATTATGACACTTGAAATCTTGAACCATACCCTTCACAATATCCCATGAGATGGATCCATCGGGATATGTTTGCAAAATCCAAACAGGGGAAAGACAAATATAGCAAAATTCCACACCACACTCACATCCACGAGGGGCAGAGTTGGCGGCATCCCCACACCAGGGGAGGGGCAAAGTTGGAGACATCCCCACACCAGGGGAGGGGCAAATAAGAGACATCTTCGCACCAGGGGAGGGGCAGAGTTGGAGACATCCCCACACCAGGGAAGGGGTAAAATTGGAGACATCCCCACACCAGGGGAGGGGCAAATAAGAGACATCTTCGCACCAGGGGAGGGGCAGAGTTGGAGACATCCCCACACCAGGGAAGGGGTAAAGTTGGAGACATCCCCCACACCAGGGGAGGGCAAAATTGGAGGCATCCCCAGAACTGAGGAAATGTAAAGAATTTCTAAACATCTCTATACAACAAAGACATCATGTGAAGTATCACACACAAGAAAGGGCCAAGAATGTAAGAGATATCCCAACATGAGAGATAAAGAGACCATTCACTGAACACAGCATGGATCCATCTCATTATAGTTTACAAAATGTTTCCCAGGAAAACTTAATGAATTGCAATCTTCAATGGTTTCAATAATTTTAAATTTTGGTCTGTATGTACACCAGGTTTTGTTACAGAATTTTGCCAACATTTAACTTGAAACTTATAAACTTTGCATCACATATTTTGGGGGTCAATCTCATGATATTTACAAAAGCGCATGCTTTTATGTCACAATTTAGACTAGTCTAATCTGCATGATTTTTCACAATTTCACTGGATTCATTTGAGTTTTCCTGTTATGCTTCATGATTGTCCAAAAATGTCCCATATATCACTAGCACAAAAGAGGAAATTAATTTTATCCTCAAGCAAATCTGACAAACAATGATAAGGCAAATACCATCAGCAGTTAAATGCAAGGTAAGATGATGATGTCATGCAATGGTATCACAGCGCTGTTACAACAATGGGATCAACCAATGAGCATCAAGGATTTGAGTTTGCTTGAGGATAAAATGAACCACATGACCAACATTTATACATTACAATTTAGAAAATGATAGTGTAATGAAACTATCCAAGTTTTCTTACTCCTTGCTTTGTGAATTTATTACAATCATTAATGGAACTTGATTTTTAATTCAACCTTTCAGAAATAGAAACTGCAATGGTAGAAATTAGGACACTTACCAGACTAAAGAATAGCAGTTGGAATGATCCAATCTTTTGGAAGAGTGCATATATTTTATGTTGTTATTTTTCTCTTTCATCAACTCAAGGTGGGCAAACTGCCTGTTCTAAGCTTGGAGTAAAAAAACCTGGAAAGTCCACAAAGGTTATGAAAATATCCAAGGTTATCATACTGACCTTTCAAAGAAAATCACTTAAATCTGAAACATTCTCTTTCCTAACAAACTTTTAAAAATCTTGCTGCTTTTGCTTTTTGATACCGATCAAACATGTAACCATATACTTGAAAGAAAAGCCAAAGGTTTTCAAAAAACATAATTTCAGCAAAGGTCAATGATAAACAAGGATATTTCGATACCTTAAAAACTGCAAATGTACAAATAATTCTTTTTTTTACATTTCTGATGAAAACAGATGGCTGGACTTGAACTCTCTGGATGCAAAGCTGTTGTCATGGCAACAATGGATGCTGCTGTTTATCACACTGTTTACCTGGAATGGTGGCACGGAGAAAATACAGTTACGAGTGAGAAATGCATCATTGTAAACAAATATAAAACAAAATTCCTAGTTGGCACATCTATTTCAGTTTTAAAGTCTGCGTCAAGTATTCAACCGCTATGCAATTCATTAATACACAAAGCTCTAGTCTACAATTAAGTTCAATTATAGAGTTATAATGAAAGAGCAACAGTGAAGCTTTTCCTATTCATTTTACCCATCACATTCACCCTCACTAACTGTGGGATTTCCTTGCTCTAAATCTTCACAAAGACATCAGTATTGTGATGAGCATAATGAAAAAAATTTGAAAGTTTGGCTTCAATCCAAAGGGATGAATCCGAAAGTATCCCATGTATAAGGAGTAACCTTCAGTCTGAATGACTTCTTCATTAAGTCCCGGAAAATCTACTGGTACTGGTCCAAGGTTTGACTTGGGACTAATTCTGGCAAATGAAACTAGACACATGAGACCAAGGAACTTGGACCAAACTTTGTTACAGGATAAGTATTTCATCTTAACAATGAGTGATGTAAGTTGGCAAAATGCAAGTTAATCTTACAGGCCTGAAGCCCCTTATTTTACTAACATTTTCACATCCATGTATGCTAGAAGGTTAGAGTCAATGTTATGAAATCTACAGATTCCATACAAGGAATAACACATTATGTATACCTTTGAAACTACTTTGAACTCACCTTGCAGGAAATGGCTGCTTGTTTTTTTCCTTTGAGGTGTTCTATCAGATAGGGTAGGATGATGGCCTGACGTTGCCAAAAGTCAATGGTCAACCTGTACCATAAAAAATTAAACAACTATTGAGGCATTTATTTTTAAATCAGGGGAGTGAAGTCCTGAAAAAAATAGATTGACGGCCAGGTTGTGGGGGATTTGCCTAAAAAAATATCCTCAAGAAATTTGAGTAAAAATAAATTTACTATGTAATTTACATGTACAAAGTACAATGTACAAGGTAAACACATTATTTTTAAGGTAACATTTTGTTTCCAAAATTTATTACTATACCTAACAAACAATTCATAGGCTCATGAATAGCATTCTGGCGTTTTTCAACTCTTTTAAAAAAAAAATTGTCAATCTCCATTGAAATGTACAGTCCATGTAGAGTAAATCAATAAAGGCATGATGGGGTTAGAAAAATGTTTTTATCTGCATGTTGTGTTAGAACTTGCTGGTTTTGCCTTTAGCCTCATAAGACCTCATCTCATCATGATTTACATTAAAAGATGACAGTGACTGTGTTGAAATGGCAAGACATATTTGATGAATATATAAGAGGGAAAATCCACCCAAAGACACACATCAGAAGCCTGTGTGCTTTGGTATGCAGCCTACCTGTGCTAATCCACTGCATGATTGGTACAGACTTGAAGTAACACTGATGCCTGGCTACTTGCTGGTTATCTAGCATGACTAGTTCACAAGATGACTGACTGGCTGGTTGGTGGGCTGATTGGTTCAACAGATGACTGGCTGGTTGGTGGGCTGATTGGTTGACAAGATGACTGGCTGGTTGGTGGGCTGATTGGTTCAAATGATGACTGGCTGGTTGGTGGGCTGATTGGTTCAAAAGATGACTGAATGGTTGGTGGGCTGATTGGTTCAATTGATGACTGGCTGGTTGGTAGGCTGATTGGCTCAAAAGATGACTGGCTGGTTGGTAGGCTGATTGGCTCAAAAGATGACTGAGTGGTTGGTAGGCTGACTGGCTCACAAGATGACTGTCTAGTTGGTACGTGTAAGTTATTTGTAGCCTTGATGGATGGCTAGTTGGCTGTTACTTGCTCTGCCAAACAGAAAGGATGTCATGACCACATGTAAATGTATGCAATTTTAGAAGTACTCTAAAGCCCAAACAATTCCAATACATACATGTACATTCTGAAATCCTTGGAAGTTATTGTCAAAACTGATTTGCCAAAACGTAACTCTCCTCTGAACCAGTGGGGTGCACATCCAGCATATTTCTATGCATATTTTTTAGAAACTTGCTTTACTTTCGAAATGACACTACCGGCACATGAACCATCTTTGAAGGGGATTCTTTGACAGGATTCTGTGAAAGGATTCTTTTACATATGAAAAAAAATTGGACTTTCGTCTTTGAAAAAAATCCCACCACAACTTTCCAAATCAGAATCTGTAAGAAGTGTCTGCCAAGCTGCATCTCCTGCAGCTCAGTTACAATGCCTATGGCATGGCAGCGATGAATGTTTTGTAGGCACAGTTTATCTATGATTTTTTCAATGTATGAGAACTATTTGACCTTAATTATGTGAACTGAAAAATGACTTTTTTAAACCATTTAAACTTGTCCAGGCTTTCCTGGAAAAAAATGAGGGTGCTGTTTCTGTGATGTCATCTGGCAAGATATGCTTCAGTACAAAAGTTTTCTTTTCAAATTGTGAACCAAGAATTTACTCACTAAAATCTTTCTGAGAAAGGGTTGATCTCTGGCTATGTATTTACACAATTAATCACCAATGAAAAAAATGATCAGGCTAGGAAAATATAAAATATCCAGCAGTTGTTTGAGTACAAACCAGAAATACAGAAATACCATTAACGTAAAACAAACAAGAACCCAGTGTAATACCTTTGAATTTAATTGGGACACAAAAGGTGCCTTTGGAGGAGTGCATTTTGAGACTTGATCGTCGGTATAAATGCAATTAGGCCAATCATAACAGAGTCTTCATTTGCAGCTACATGTAACAGAAAAACATAGAAAAAAAAGGTAGGAGTCATATTGTGATTGGTCACGCTGTCATGCTGACAACAATGATAAGAAAGTACATACAGTGTATGCCGTCGATCTTCCCTACGGTGAATAGGCAAAATACTTGTCAATTTCACCAATTTGATGAGATATAAGATGACTAAACCTCCCCAGCAAACATCTAACCCAATCAAGATGGGATACATGAAATCTCGCTCAGCAAATATTTTGGGATGGGAAGCGAGTTTACATACACACATCTACACATACATGTACATGTAAGCATTGACAAAACCTGAACAGTTCTGGAAGTACATGTAACTTAAAGCTTGGAAAAAAATCCCAGTCTTGTGTTGAGGGACCTTAGCAGCAAAGATTGTGTACCTGGGAACATCTTTGTTTTTATTTTTCAACTGACAATAACGTTCGGAAATAGCCCAGGTTGGACAGCATCTTCAGTACATTGCAACTAACATCCTGGATATCAATTCATCTTGCCATGAGCAAATTTTGGCACCAGTTTTTTTATATACTTTAATTTAACCATACGGAGAGAGCTGAAATATTCTCCACATGTTCCTTATATCTGGAAATTCTCAATACAATAAACGTGCATTACAGTAATTACTTTTTGAATAAGTACATACGTCCTTGGCTTACATAAAATATATTACTATTCTGTAGAACTGGCGATACTGTCTGTGTGTTTTTTATACCCAATTTTTCCCCAGTGATATCGTTAAGAGAGAGCAATGTTAAAAATTCCCCGAGATAGTTTGAAATGAAAACTTACAGGTACCCTTTTTGCGCATGTACTACATTCTAAGATGAGCTTTGTTTTGGACTTCAGGTAGAGCGCAAGCTTCTCGCTTTACAAATTTTGTTCCCAGAAAATTCCATGTGAAGGAATTTTTGCCAGATTTCCAATTCATATTGTGATATTTTTGGATAGTTCATAAAAAACTACAGGGAAAATCAACAAAATAATTAATAGGGCAATAGATCACTCTTTACGTGTGATTCCAAATTTTTTCTCATACTCAACAGTCATATAAAATATAGTATCTATTGTCTTTGGAATACAAAGTGATTTGAAGAGCCTGGCGAGTAAAAACTGCTTTGGGTAAGAGTCCCATGCACAGATATCACTTGTTTTCCCTTGCGGTGGTTTATCAGCCATCAGAAAGTGAAAACAAGCCCCGAAGCCAAATTTAGTAGTTAAATATTGAAACATTTACACATACTTGGGAAACTCTTTTTTCAGACCATTCTCGTAGGATTTTAGCACAGGGTGTCGAGCGATGTCACTGAACAAACTCTTCACCTAATTTGCTCCAAAAATAGTAGGTCTCATGCCATGCCCATGGCAGGGTCTAAAATAAACCACTGCAGGTAGGTGCTTTGCCAATTGATGAGACGATTCCACGTTTTACAAGACATGTAAGTGACAACTATCATGAGTAAATATGATTGAGGAAATGAAATTTATGTCATAACAATTTACCTGTCAGGCTGGATTTAAAAACAGATCATGTTAGGACAGTTCCAACCCCATGAACAGTGAAATGGCCAACAGGCATAGATAATGACATCAATGATTTGGGCCTTCCCTTTTCCAGGTTTCCAGAACAAGAACAGAGTCATGGAGCTAATATTCAATTACTATAGACAAGCGCTAACTTCTCATTTTCGTCTTCCTACATTAATCTGAAAGAAAATTACCTGATTCTTTTAAACGGTGGAACACATTACAGTCTGTAAAATATGATAAAACCACTCTGAAACCTTAAGAGCATATTTTCAAGTTGTTGATGCTTTGTTGATGGTACATACATGTATGTGTGTTGACGCTTGTTAACGCTAAATAGCACGACCGACCACATGTGTTTGCATTGTTTACTGAGAGCAAAATCTAGCCCCACACGTAGGGCTGTAGTCAGTGGCAGTGGCTCTCTTTTACAATCTGTCTCTTATCTGTCGCCACCACAGCCCTACTTCAAGGCATGTCTTCAATGCCTGAAATCCAAACTGACAGATTGTCACAAACTTTGAATCCTAGCCTCCTAGGCTATTCTCAAGGTCGGAGGTTGTTCCATTTATCACACTTGAGTCTGGGCAAAGGGGCAACTCTCCATTCACTTTGTACAGGGATTTGCATGTTTTCCTCATTTTCGGCAGCAACATAATAGAAATAACTAAAACCTTTTCAATACTGAGTGGGAAATGTTTATAGTGCATAAAAAAAGAAATTTCAGGCACATTTGATGTAGGCTTGGCCTAAAGGTCATGAAGGTTAAGAGTTTGAGTCAATAATTCAGATTTTTTCCTGTAGACCGCTACACTATTTTGCTCCGTTGAGTTTTCAGTGCGAGAGATGGAATAGTCATCAATTGATCAATCAGTGAGAAGAATCAAGAATCAGCAATGTCATCCCAACCTTGAGAATAGGCCTATCTAAGCTCTACTGAGTGGAGCGTTAGTACTCCCCTTTTTCTATTTTGGACGGGATCGTCATACTAACGCTAACTAACCCGTACATAGAGTAAGGTGAAAACGATTCTCAAAAATTCCAAAGACTCACCCAAAATACCTCTATCACCATCTACTGGCTTCCGTAAATGCCAACGTCAAACGGTTGGGGCTTCAATAATATTTCTGACTTCAAAATCTGCCAAAATCCGACCTCTGTGGTCCCTACCAATGACTGTTTCATGGGACCTTCTCAGGATGTATGGTGAACTGTCTGCACAAAAGCAGTCCACAGGTATTACCAAAAAAGACTTAGCAAATCTGCCCATGGAACGCACATGTAGCGAGCAGGGGCCTGCATTTGGCAGGGACTACAAAGGTCACGATCAACAAGTCTTGTATCCAGATCATGTAAAGCTCACTCATGCGTACGTCTTGGGGGACCATGTTTGCCCACAGAGTTATTGGCCAGAAACTCTACATGCCCGTATTTGAATGGGAGGAGGCAGTGAAAAGTTTAAGTGCTGTGTGTGTGTCGAGCAAAACGGTCGGATTTTGACAGGTTTTGAAGTCAGAGAAGTCACTGAAGCCCCATTGAGAACCGTTTTCACCATACTCTATGTATGGGCGTGGAGCATTAGTATGACAATCCCGTCCAAAATCAAAAAAGAGGAATACTAACACTCCACTCAGCATGCTCAGAGAACTAAATGTAGGTCTACATGTATCTTGTGAAATGGGAATGACTTGACAATTTACGTAATGACTTACACCGTCATATTCTTCAGAGTTGGGACTTTCATACATGTACAAGCACCCTAAAGCTTTCCCAAACAGTATATTTTCCGAGGTATGGTGCTTGGAAAAACCCTGCCTCAGTGCTTATGGATATATGTGTCGCCATTTTCAAAATAGGGCCTGCATCGTGTGTACATGTATGTAGGCCTAGCCCCACAAGTAGGGCTGTAGTGGCTCTCTTTTACAATCTGTCTCTTATCTGTCGCCACCATAGCCCTACTTCAAGGCATGTCTTAAATGCCTGAAATCCAAACTGCAGGATTGTCACAAACTTTGAATCCAATATCTTCTGAAATGAGGATCACTCGACAATTCTACCTACATCGCCGTATTCCTCAGAGTTTGGACTTTCTTACGAGCACCCTAAAGCTTTCCCAACAGTATGTTTTTCGATGTATGGCGCCTTGAAAACCGGGTCTGCGATATTTCTATGTTGACCATGGGCGGCACCATTTTAAAAGGAAAGCAGGGCTTCCTGCATTGGATTTCAAGGCACCCGACAGGCGCTCTAGTATACGTTGTACCATACAAAACTGGTTCCCTGTCACACCTTGCGTGACAGACGAACAAGGAACTGGTGAAATTAAATTTGAATAACATTAATATGCATGTTACTCTATCATGCTCCACACATGTGCTGTGGGCGGACTGTACACTAGCAAAGTTCAGGCGCAACTTATTACCAAGCAACACTATGACAACATGAATTATGCATCTACGGCACCTGTCCGGTGCATTGAATTCCGACGCAAGAAGCGCTGCTTTCGTTTTTTAAAATGGCACCGCCCGTGGGAGCTATAAATGCAATCGTACGTATGAAACCAAACCACCGTTCACAATCATGCACAATGCATGACATCTAGATGCTCAACCAACCATAACAACTTCACGTGTGAAATCAGGCTCCTATAACATTCTGGCTTTATTTTCCTTAAAAAAAAAACCTCCCTGCCCATAATTTTAACCCGGGATTCGAACCCACACCCCATACATCACAAACCATTATGCTGTAACCGTTTGACTACTGCAATTCACACAGGTTAACGGTGTTTTTACTGTAGATATACCGATGAACCGCTGCAACGCGAGACTAATACACATTGGGCATGCGCAATACAAACACAACCATCGTGGTTTGGCGTCATACGTATGGTTGCATATATATCTCAGCCATGGACAGCATAGAAATATCACAGACCCGGTTTTCAAGGCGCCATACATCGAAAAACATAGAGTTTGGGAAAGCTTTAGGGTGCTCGTACATGTCGTATGAAAGTCCAACCTCTGAGGAATACGGCGGTGTAGGTAGAATTGTCGAGTGATTCTCATTTCAGAAGATATTGGATTCAAAGTTTGTGACAATCCTGCAGTTTGGATTTTAGGCATTTAAGACATGCCTTGAAGTAGGGCTGTGGTGGCGACAGATAAGAGACAGATTGTAAAAGAGAGCCACTACAGCCTTATTTGTCATGTTTGTAGGGCTAAATGTAGTACTAAGCCATGTCAAAAGATCGTATAGCGCCGAAGGCGCAAGATGGATAGCTCTACCCAAAGACTTGAAAGAGTGTAATTACCATGGGCGCCATTTGAGCAAACGATACGCCTGCGCAGTTTAGGGTAATGCTTAGGCGCAGGCTCACCAGGTGCACTGCCTGCCACGGCGCCTGCGCCTTTGCATTAATGTGCATTGCGCAGGCGTATTGCTTGCTCAAAGGGCGCCTATGCAATTATAACGATTTACGTGTATTCACTGTGAAGTTCGCTATCTTGCGCTTCGCGGCGCTATACGATCTTTAGCCATGTCTGCATGTTGTTTAGGGCCTACTCGACATGTTCGAAGGTAAGGCTCAATGACGTGTGCTCCATTGCTTAGGCTAACGCACAAAACAGTCGTAACTAATTAATGAGCTCATGTAGAACTCTCATTTTCAACTCCTTACGCCTTTGTGAACTAAAAGTTAAAAGAGATTCAGAAGAAAACTCACCACATTCACACTTCTGCTTTGCTTTCGACATGTTGCTTTCGATGCATGCCTACACTCTCAGACATGTCTATGTGTAATAGCGCCCCCAGTTAGAATAATTAACAGCGCCCTCTACTGAATTTTAACAATAATCGTTGCACAGCGCTGTCGCATATCGCTTTCGCTCGTCGCTCAACGCCCAAACAGGGCGTTGGAGGACGAGCGAACGTACCGCTAAGCATTGATGGTTCGCTTTCAAAATCCGAGAGAAATAGCACCACCTGGTTACGTTCAGAAACAGAGTGGCCCTGCGTGTTTCAACGGAAATTTAAGATTATGACTGCTAGGGCAGTTTTATTTTCCTTATTCCCCGCCCCAAAATAACCCCAAAATAATGGTCAATCACTGGGCTCAATGTTAAGATGGCGCCTGCTCATTAACAGCTAATATTGACTTATTTTATTTTTTTAAATTACTGAGTACCTTTTGTAAACCGTCTATATTCAACAGCGCTCACGAAATGCTAGCAATCAATAAAATTACTGACCCTTTATTGTTAGTTTATTCAGCACCCGGTTTGTAGTCGTAAGCAGATATGAAGCTGTTTTAGAATTCTACCAAGATAGAATTTGGATTGGATTACGCTCGCTTTACAAATAAAACTATCAAAAAATGACCAAGATTATTTTCTAAAAATTCACAAAGTTTCCACGAAAATAACTTCGACATGTTGGCTTTGCGTTCGGATTCGAGGAAACAGTTGGCTTTCCTCGGATAAACATCATGCTCACGATATCGAGACAAAGCCAAGTTAGTGCTTTTTTACTTCAACGAAATAATGTGTCACGCGGGCAGGTCATGCATGTGTTTTTACAATGATTATTAGGATGATCGTATAAAACAAGGTGATACGCAACACACCTCAAACAACTGTGCAATGACACAGCAAGCAAAAGATGGCCAAATATGCATCCTTGCCAAGTTATAGAGCGACTGGAAATACCTTGATCATTGTCCATATCCTGGTCCTATAGTGCCGGAAATGGGCCATGTCCGCCAATCGGGTATGGTTCCCCAGTTGTAGTATGCTACTCCGAGTGGGTTTAACTCGGAGAAACTGACAACTTTCTCCACGATCTGACTAATGCTCCGCCTACGTCGTATTCATTTGTTCCTTCCCCATCAACAATATGCCTCAGGTTTGTGTGCTCTTTCGTGTTACTCCAACTAATGCAATGTCTCTTATTTTGCACTCACGAAGACAACTTACATACACACTTGTTTTTTAACGACATAGGACTCAAAGTATAAAGCCCTA